GATTTTAGAAGGTTGTCATTTTGCAGTTTGTTCTCTGACCACAACAGAATTAAATTAGAAATAAAAAACAATAAGAATCTAGAAAAGACCTAAATACTTGGAAATAAACTAACTCAAAACTAAACCATCCATAGGTCAACGACGGAAACAACAAAGTAAATTTGAAAAACTTTTTGACTGAATGATAATCTTTTAAAATTATATTAAAATTTGTGAAGTGCAGCTATGGCAGTCCTGTATAAATATCCTGAAGGGATATTTATACTTTTAAAAGCTTAAAGAAAAAAGGTGCAAAATTAGTGATCTAAGGTTCTATCCTAGGAAGTTTAAAAAAAAAAAGAGAAAGCAAACTGAACCCAAAGTAAATAGAGGGACAGAAATAATAAGCATAAAACAGAAATTAATGAGAAAATATAAGTAAAAGTTTGTATTTGAAAAGTTCAATAAAATTGACAAAATTCTAGCTAAACTTATCGAGAAAAAAGAAATTCACAACTTAGCAATATCAGGAATGAAAGAGATGACCTAGAGAGCTTACAGACATTAAAAGAATAATAAGGGAACTTTATGGCTTCAGGCAAATCTGATAGCTTAGATGAAATAGACAAATTCCTTAAACAAATTACCGAAACTGACACACACAAAATAGATTATCTAAATATTTCAATATACGCAGAGGAAATTGACTTACCTGTCAAAACATTCCCACAGAGAAAACTCCAGGCTCTGTTGGTTTCACTGGTAATTTCTATCAAATATTTTAGAAAGAAACAACAATCCTACACCAACCCTTTAAAAAATAGAAGCCAAGGAAATATTTTCCAACTGATTTTATGAGATCTCTATTAGCCATAGTAACGCTACACAAATACATCACAAGAGATCTAAAAACCAGAGAAAAAATTCTCATGAAACAGAAAATTTACCAAATACTAGCAAAACAAACCCAATAAAATGTGTGTGTATATATATATATATATATATATATATATATATACACACACACACACACATACACACTTTATATAAATGGGGTTTATCCCAAAAGTTGAAAGTTGGTGTAACATTCAAAAACATCAATATTATTTACCATACTAAAAGAATAATAACAAGACCACCCGAATAGATGCAGAAAAGCATTTTTCAAAATTCAATAACTCATTTATGATAAAAATTCTTAGTTAACTAGGAAGAGAAGAGAGCTTGCTCAATCTAATAAAGGACATCTATATAAAAAAAAGAAAAAACCTACAGCTAACAGCAAACCTAATGGTGAAAAAAAAAAAAAGGAATGGTTTCTCTTAAGATTACGAACAAAGTAAGGAAGATAGCTTTCAGTACTTCTATTCAACATTATCATAGAGATAGTAGCAAACACAAAAAGGCACAAAAATAAAGGCATAAAAGTTAGAAAGGAAGAAACACTTGCTGAAGGAAATTAAAGAAGACCTGAATAAATGGAGAGTACCACATTCATGGGCTAGAAAACTAAACATTGTTACAATATCAATTCTCCACAAAAACCTATAGATTCAACACAACTCTTATCAATGTCCCAGCAGACTCTTAGAAATTGGCAAGTGACGCTAAGATTTATATGAAAATTTAAATAACCTTTAAAAATATCAATGCAAATTTGATCCCTTACTGTAAAATATATCCATGACATTTTACATGTCAAAGCAATTACAAAAATCAAAGTAGTTTTGTTTTTCTGTTTATAAAAGTAATACAGGTATATTGTGGAAAGAAAGAGAATGCATGTAAAGTTATAAGAAAATGGAAATCACATTTAATCCCACAATCTCATAATAATGGTCAACACTGTCATTATGTCATCCCAATTTTGTCCTTGCCTACATATATATAAACGTTAATATATATTCACACAAATAGGAGTATATATCTATTTCATTTTTCCATGTTAATAAGTATAGACCTAAGTCTTACGTGTTATTGGCTACGTGATATTTTATAGTATGGTTGTATCTTAATGTATAACTAAACTCCTACTATTACATATTTCCAGTTTTCCTATATTCTATACAAGCCTGTACCAAACATCTATGTACACCTATGTTAAATTATTTCCCTATGATACGTTGCTAGGAAAAAAGAAAAGCTTCATAAGATCTACCCTCTTTTTATGGAGGTGGTACATATGTTTATGGCATAGATTGTGGTGATGGTTTCATGGATATATACTTATCTCCAAACTCAAATTCTATACATTAAATATGTACAGTTTTCTGTATGTCAGTCATACCTCAATAAAGTGGTTTAAAAAAATAAAATTTACAAGGAAAAAAATGGTTCAAAGAGATGAACATATTGAACTTAGTTTTTTTTTAATTTAATTTATCCATTAACCGCCTCATTGTTGTACCTGAACCTCCTGAAGATTATACCAGTTTATATTTCTTATATCAGTTCCTTCTACTCTTGTTAATTCTGGGCAAAAATAATTATTGAACTTTGTCAATCTGATAAGCAAAATGATATACCCCTGTTGTTTAATTTGTATTTCTTTGCTTACTAATGAAGTTAGCCAGCTTTTCACATATTTATTAGATGCTTTAAGTTTTTATTACATTCATTGCCTAGTTTTCTATTGACATTCACCTCTTGTCCTTATTGATTAACAAGAACCGTTTGTTTAGTACTATGTTTAATCCCTCATCTATTATAAGCCTAAAAGATATTCTCCATTTTAGCAATGGCCTTTGTGTTTGTGTCTGTTGTTTATTTGTGTGTTATAATTTTTTAACTACACACAATTGAATAGATTCTTCTCTTTCATGGTTGCTAGGTTTCATCACAGAAATAGGCTTTTCAGTTCTATTATTGTAATATTAATGAATTTTCTTCTGATTCATTATTTGTTCTTGCATTTTAAACTTTCTTCTAGAATTTATCTTATTAGAACCAGTGAAGTTGATGTGCAAATTTTCCCACTAAATATCTAGCCACTTATATTTTTCTCACTGAATTAAAATGCCACCATTCACATATACTGACTTCTCAAATGTATTTAGATATAATTCCTTACTCTTTCTGTTTCATTAACTCTGTATTTTTGTGTCAGCATGATACTATTTTTTATTAATTTTTGTAATTTATGTTTAAATATTTTGTAGGGTAAGTCTGTTTTCATTACTATTTTTTAATATTTCTGATATTTCTCATATTTATATTCTTCCAAATGAACTTTAGAATTTTTCAAGTCAAAAATATCTCTTTGAAATGTATATATTTACTAAGAATTAATGTCTTTATAATATGGAATCTTTCTATTGAAATATATATACTATATCCCTCTTTTTAGTAAGTTTTATTTTGTTTCCTTAGTAGGGCTGAATGGTTGTAATACTTTGTGTATTTCTTGTTTAGTTTATTCTAAGGAATTTAATTTTTTTCAGAGATGCTGTGACTGGAATCATTTTACACAGTAATATTTTCTAAATGATTTATATATATGAAAATTATTTTCATTTTGTAGTATGTTAATTTACTTATTCTCTTTGTTCTAATAATTTTTCAGTTGATTTCTTTTGGTTTTCAAGACAGATTTTAGTTTGACCTACAAAGATAGAATTATTGGAAAAGATGTGGCAAAACTAAATCTGTGTTCTCTATAATTGATTTTGCTAGCGCTCTTTGCATCTTCACTTTTTTCCTGCATTTTAAGGCCATTTTTCTAGTGATTCAGTATTAAGTTTGTTCCTAGTTGTTTTTTTTTTTTTTTTTTTTTACGGTACACGGGCCTCTCACTGTTGTGGCCTCTCCCGTTGCGGAGCACAGGCTCCGGACGCACAGGCTCAGTGGCCGCGGCTCACGGGCCCAGCTGCTCCGCGGCATGTGGGATCTTCCCGGACCGGGGCACGAACCCGTGTCCCCTGCATCGGCAGGCGGACTCTCAACCACTGCGCCACCAGGGAAGCCCTAGTTGTTATTTTTTATGGATAGATTTGTTTAGATGTAGACATAGCTATACATACAGACAGGGACATATATGTAAACATTGACTGGAGAATTTTACAGCTCAGCAGCAAATGCTGAAATTTCATCAAATACTTTTTTATCTAAAAATATTGTCTTAAACAACTTACCTTTGAGTAAAATATGGTGTTTTTGGATGAAGTGCACCCCCAGGGATCTCAGGTTGAGAAGCACTGCTCCATAACACACCCCTCGCTATTCAGTTGAGCCGTAAGTTCAGTGTCTGCTTAACTATATACATTTAAAACATACTCATTTCCAATCTCATTTGATACCTATTTAAATTCAGGTTAACATGTTTACTGGGTTTGAATTTAAATATGAAGAAATGATAGTCCATTTATTATTCAAAAACATTTTTTTCCTTAAAATGATGACTCTTCTCACTCTTACATATTTAACCCAAAATCTTAAAGAAAGCATTTTCATCATCAGAGCGGCTATGATGCCTGGATTCTGCCTCATCTCTATGATAAACACGAAGAGTACAGGGAGATTTTGAGGATCTTTTTGTTTACCTCAAAAAAGAAAAACCCTTCATAAATCAAAATTTACTGAATTATGAAAGAGGTACACCTTCTAACTGAAAGGAACTTTTTAATAGAAAACTTATATATGAAGGTAAAAAGTCTCATCCTCTTTCTCTGAATGTAACTTTGTTTTGTACTTGGAACCCAAGGGCCTGATGTTGAATGAAGCTTCTGTTAGCTTCATTCTGAACAGAGGATGACATTCCCAAACATCAGAGATGCAGACACTGATTCAAACTGAACAGGTGTCCTCTTAGCCATTGACCTCTGCTTCGGTCCTTTGAGTTCAAAACAGAACCTTTTGTGAAAGGTATTGTTTTGCTCCACAGTCTGTGCCAGACACTGTCATAGTCTCTTTGCAGTTGTCCAATACTGAAATTGTCATAACTCTAGGAAGCTACTATTATCATCCCCCTCATTTCCATTTTACAGCCAAGAAAACTGAAGTACAGGGAGACGCAGTAACTTACCTGAGATCGTGTAGCTAACAATGGCAGCTCTCAGGTTTAAAGCTCAGATCTGTAGCGTTCCAAATCCAGGGTCTTCCTCATTGTACTCACTGTCTCATTTATGTCTCTTTACCTAGCTATGTCCTAACTCAATTTCTCTTCCTCCTTTCTTTGGCCCCTTCTCCTGCAGGCCCGTGACCAAGGTGTAAGACTAAGAGGGGGAGTCATGCTTCACACGGCCTTATCATGTTGGCAGCCATTCCTGGGTCTGGCTGTGGTCTTAATCTTCATGGGATCCACCATTGGCTGCCCTGCTCGCTGCGAGTGCTCAGCCCAGAACAAATCTGTTAGCTGCCACCGAAGGAGACTGATCGCCATCCCAGAGGGCATTCCCATCGAGACCAAAATCTTGGACCTCAGCAAGAACAGGCTGAAAAGTGTCAACCCTGAAGAATTCATCTCATACCCTCTGCTGGAGGAGATAGACCTGAGTGACAACATCATCGCCAATGTGGAGCCAGGAGCATTTAACAACCTCTTCAACCTGCGTTCCCTCCGCCTGAAGGGCAATCGCCTGAAGTTGGTCCCTCTGGGGGTCTTCACGGGCCTCGCCAACCTCACCAAGCTTGACATTAGTGAAAATAAGATTGTCATTTTACTGGACTACATGTTCCAGGATTTGCATAACCTGAAGTCTCTAGAAGTGGGGGATAATGATTTGGTTTATATATCGCATAGGGCCTTCAGTGGGCTGCTCAGCTTGGAGCAGCTCACCCTGGAGAAATGCAACCTAACAGCGGTACCAACAGAAGCCCTCTCCCATCTCCGCAGCCTCATCAGCCTGCATCTGAAGCATCTCAATATCAACAACATGCCCGTGTATGCCTTTAAAAGACTGTTCCACCTGAAACATCTAGAGATTGACTATTGGCCCTTACTGGATATGATGCCTGCCAATAGCCTCTATGGTCTCAACCTCACATCCCTGTCAATCACGAACACCAACCTGTCCGTGGTACCCTTCCTTGCCTTTAAACACCTGGTCTATCTGACCCACCTTAACCTCTCCTACAATCCCATCAGCACTATCGAAGCAGGCATGTTCTCGGACCTGATCCGCCTTCAGGAGCTTCATATAGTGGGGGCCCAGCTCCGCACCATTGAGCCTCACTCCTTCCAAGGGCTCCGCTTCCTTCGTGTGCTCAATGTGTCTCAGAACCTACTGGAAACTTTGGAAGAGAATGTCTTCTCCTCCCCTAGGGCTTTGGAGGTCCTGAGCATTAATAACAACCCACTGGCCTGTGACTGCCGCCTTCTCTGGATCCTGCAGCGTCACCCCACCCTGAAGTTCGGTGGCCAGCAGCCCATGTGTGCTGGCCCAGACACCATTCGTGAGAGGTCATTCAAGGATTTCCATAGCACTGCCCTTTCTTTTTACTTTACCTGCAAAAAACCCAAAATCCGTGAAAAGAAGTTGCAGCATCTGCTAGTGGATGAGGGGCAGACGGTCCAGCTAGAATGCAATGCTGATGGAGACCCACAGCCTGTGATTTCCTGGGTGACACCTCGAAGGCGTTTCATCACCGCCAAGTCCAATGGAAGAGCCACTGTGTTGGGCGATGGCACCTTGGAAATCCGTTTTGCCCAGGATCAAGATAGCGGGATGTATGTTTGCATCGCTAGCAACGCCGCTGGGAATGACACCTACACAGCCTCCTTAACTGTGAAAGGATTCACTTCAGACCGCTTCCTTTATGCAAACAGGACCCCTATGTACATGACCGACTCCAATGACACCGTTTCCAATGGCACCAATGCCAATACTTTTTCCCTGGACCTTAAAACAATACTGGTGTCTACAGCCATGGGCTGTTTCACATTCCTGGGAGTGGTTTTATTTTGTTTTCTCCTCCTTTTTGTGTGGAGCCGTGGGAAAGGCAAACACAAAAACAGCATTGACCTTGAGTATGTACCCCGAAAAAACAATGGTGCTGTTGTGGAAGGGGAGGTGGCTGGACCCAGGAGGTTCAACATGAAAATGATTTGAGGGTCGACCACTCCAGCTATGGTTTCCGTGTCATTGTTGGTAACCAGTTAAGACAGCCTGGCACAGTAAAGCACTAGGTTAAAAGGCAGCTTAGTGCCGCTGCCCCTGTGTCAAAGCAGGGTCCGGAAGCAGGAGGACTTCTGATGGAGACTCGCCGCCTCAAGGCAGGCATGTGTCAGAGCCCTTCACACAGTGGGATACTAATTGTTTGCATTGCAAATATTGGCATTCTGGGGATCTCAGTAATGAACCTGACCTTTGGCTTATGCTCATGGACAGTTATTCAACATTTTCTACCACTGCAAAAACAAAAGAATAAATAAAAAGGAACAACCTACAATGTAGGATTTACATATTAAAAAGACACATTTGTCTAAAACATACTCTACAGAAAAATTTGTATCTCTGCTTCTCATTTGTTAAAGCCTTGCATCATACCGTATTGTTGGTTCAACACCACAAAGAAATCAATATATTCTTTACTCTCTTTTTTTTGGAAACATATATGCTGTATATGTTTTAAAGCAATATGAATGAGAGGTTGTGCTTTTAGTTACTCACCACTATTGATCCAAGTGTGATTTCACCTTCCTTTACATAGAGATAACCCTGAGACTAGATCCCTGGAGTTATGGGCGGATATATGTTGAAAGATGTGTTTGTCTGACGTAGGATGCCAAGAAATAGGACCCAAGGCAAAAATGCTCAATTCTGTTAACTTCTGTTACTATAAATAAAGGCATGTGCCTAGTTTTGATACAGAATGGAATATTTTTTATACTTGTGATATCACACTGGACCAGTTTACTGTTACAAAGTCCTTGGTTTCTCCAGAAGGTGGTGTGCCACTGTTTATACCTGTAAAGTGCAAGGTAGGTGTTAATAATGAAAATTATTCATTTAACCACAACGTGATTTTACTTTCATCGATTGCTACTAATGGGTTAATAGAAAATGGAAGAGGATGTGCTTGTTATATATACTCATAGGGCACTATTCAGCTCGTAGCTAAGATCAACTATTCAGATGTTTAAAAGCTCTCTGGATAAGGAGGAGTTCTTCTCAGATTCCAGCGCAAACCAGGGTGATCCATGCATTACACGATCCATGCAACTAAGGATCTGTTTAAAATATGATAGCTGTCTGAAGGCTAGATTGCTTCCAGTCTAAGGAATCATCTAGCTACTGCAACTCTGCTGTTGTCTATTCAAATACTTTAAACACAGTATTATCTTTTTTTTTCCCCGGACCGGGGCACGAACCCGTGTCCCCTGCATCGGCAGGCGGACTCTCAACCACTGCACCACCAGGGAAGCCCCACAGTATTATCTTAAATGGACAACTTAAGGGTTTCTCCCTGCTTCCTCTCCAAATAGATACTGATTTTTATTTTGAAAATTGTCTGGTGTAGACAAGAAGAATCTGTCTTGTTTTTAAAGAAGTGGCGAAAAACAAGGTAGATTAAGCAGCACTTACTGATTTTTTTTTTTCTCTCCACTGAGGAAAAACTAAGATTTACCCCTATAAGTAGGTTAAATCGTGCTGACCCTTTCACCCCTCTGAATGAAGGCTGTTTATCCAGTTCAGTTTGTGTTACTGATTGGTACTCAAAGTTAAAATATTATAGTTTAAGAACAATGGCGTCATGCCATTACCACCAGTGACCTGGTTCAAATGAGACATAATTCCATTTGGCTAAAGGTTGAGTCAATGGTTTTCAAAGCATATACAGTTGACCCTTGAACGTGGGAGTTAGGGATGATGATGCTGTGCACAGTTGAAAATCTTCATATAACTTAGCCCTGTGTATCCACAATTCCACATCCATGGATTCAACCAACCTCAGATCGCATAGTACTTACAGTATTTACTGTTGAAAAGAATTTGTGTATAAGTGGACCTGCACAGTTCGAACCCATGTTGTTCAAGGTCAACTATATTTATGTGATCTGAGAAAGCACTGAATATATAGAGTGTATTCATGACATATGATATATGTAATTAGCATAGAACAGATAGATATCTACACTTTTCACTTTGAGAGAGACCTAAAAAAGAGCACCCTTTTGGACAGCATGTAAGCTGGAGTAGAAGGTCTCTGGGGTTTGTTTCTTGACATATCAGACTGGAGGTTTGACGTTCAAAAAGCTGGCTTTTTTGAGTATTTGAAATTTTGAGTAACTTCAATAAAATTAAATTGACCCCAATAAAAAAGTGACAGGTCCAGAAATTGTTTGCCAACTGGATAGCAACATGGTTAAGCCCATTTCTCCCTTAACAAAGGGTGGAAAATGAGATAGAAAGATTGAAGGATTGCCTGCTTGAATCATTTTTCATTTGACTTTCCTGATGATTATCATACATCACTTAGAAATTCATTTCCCTCTTATGGCAATTAACTACCTTATTTATATCTAACAATACAAATCAAGATCTTACAAATTCTATCAGAATTCCAACTTGTGTGCAAATGGAATGGAGTCTTTCAAACTTAAGAATGAACAAAGTTAGAGAGTCTTCCAAAAGTTAGTGGAGAGTACTTTGCATGGAGTAAGTACTTAACTAATTGGCCAACAAAAAGAGAGAGAGAAACATTTAGCAGTTAGTAAAAGGGCTTTATAATTCTAACTGCTATTTTCTGTCAAAATAAAAGTTGACCAAAAAGCTTAGTCAAATGAAATTGGATTAAAGTTAACTCATCCGTGAAAAGATTTAGTTGTTATTCCACAGGAAGAAAAGAGATTGCACTCTCTCAGGGGTTTCCATACTCTGATCCCTGGAACACTAGTTATTTAAGACCTTAATAAGCGTTCTTCCCAAAAAAGAGTCCCATAGACTAATAAGTTGGGAAAATGGTGCATTCTGTAACCACCTCGTGGAGGTTCAATATCTATTTGAGCCTAATAAATCCTCTGAAAAGTCCAATAAACAAGAATCCTGTTTAATTTTGTTTACCTTGGGGTTTCTCTAACTTATCTGAGCATGAAGCACTTCTTTTCATGATGCAACTGTTAAACGTCTTGAAAAACTAGAGTTCCACAGAACCCAGTTTGGTCAACATTGCACTAAAATAGTACTCTCCCGAATTATTCCTAAACCCAATGTTTCCAAGAAGAGTAAAATTACTATTTGAATTTGGCTCCAATAGATTACAAAAAAAAAAGAAATATGCCACCTGGATAAGTGATCTGATCATAAAAATGTACTGGCCAGATAGTTCTAGGAGAATCTGTGACTTTCTGTCTGAAGCATCATAGTAAAGGATTTATAGGTAACTGAATGGCCACTTAATTTTCTACATTCTCACTATCTGTTCAGATCTTGGGTTCCTTTTTATAACTGCAAAGCTCTGATCTTGGGTTCCATTGACTAGAATCTTGGGGCTCTAGGATTGAATTTCACAAAGGGAATTTTTCCTTATGGCCTCAGTTTACCTCTTTGTCAGGTCCAACTAGACTGTGGTAACCAACAGCAGTTTAGATCAGCAAGTGGGCCAAATTTTCCCCTGAGTAGTCATCTCGGGGTCATCATCTTCCCAGAGTATTTGTTCAAACTGTCCTAAGAAGAAATACAGTTGTTTGGCTCAGCATTTAACTCTGGGTTGACCAGTTCTGTGTGCATATTAAGCATCTTCAGAGAAGATTTTATACTTCCTAGGCATTAAATTTCTAGAAGAAAAATTCCCCAACTAGAGCCCTAATGGCCAGAGAATTGATCTATGCCCCCAAATGTCTGAAATACATGTTATTAGAGTTATATATGATAACTCACCAAACGATTTGGCCTAATGTGTTCCTGGCAAGGGATTTCTACTTTTTCAAGTTCTCATGTCACTTACTTTTTTTTCATTTTCATTGCATTTATAATTATGAGCTTCTCAGATATTCTCAAAGTTTGAAAATGTAAACCAAGAATTGCCAAGACTTGTATTTCCTAGTCCCAGAGGACATTTTCAGAGCTCTGGTTCTGCTCAAGTTCCTCAGAACTTTTGCTTATCACCAACAACTCCCCAGTAGTATAAAGGCCTTCAGGATTTGCTCTAAAGTGTTCAAGGTGGATTCTTTTTCCATTGCTCTGTCAAATATTCTGTTCTCTTCAGTTCTCAGAGGAGTCCAGAAATTACAGTCTTCCAGGACTTTTTCAAAAAAGAATTATTTAAATCTCACCTGCATTTAAGCCTGACCTTTGTCATTTTCCATGACTCAAGCGGGAACAAATATGTTTATATATTATAAGGTACAAAAGACAGGATGTGATCTTGGAGAAGAAAAATTGAGTAGAGCCCCATGTAGATTAACTTACCCTTCCAGGGTCTCTCTTTATCTCCACATCAAGACATTTGTTTTAACTTCGGGGACTGTGCTCAGAAGTTGTTCAACACCACAGAATATGTCTTGAGGCTTTCTAGGAAAGAAAAAAAATACACATCATTTTCAACTTAGAAGGCTAAGACCTGACCAAAAAAATACCAGAAGTTTAAAGAAGGGTTGGAGGGAGACGTTTGAATCCATTTTAATCCTATTTCCTTTATTACTATTTTTTATAGTTATCTTCTAACTGAAGAAACATCAGAGGTTATACTCTTCTTTAACTTTCATCAGTGTCTTTTTTGTCCCTATTACCTATGTCCTGGTCACACCTATATAGCTCACATAAGCCATTCCAAATGGATTTTATGCCATGTGAACCTAGTAACAAAGCATGTGAGGCCAAAGCTATTCATTCTACTTAGTATTTAGGTAAAGATTTATCCCCTTTATTCCTGGGGTTAAAGTCCTAGAAACATTTCCCATTAGACTAATATCAGTACACGAGGTGCCTGGTGATTTCCATTGACTTTCCACCATTGGCTTTGAGAGCCCCATCCTTTCTTCTAAAATCCTTGCTCTCTTCTGATTGAGGACGTTCTGGAGTTATCCTTGCCCTCGTGTGTGGAAAGCCTTGAGGAATGAATCATTACCTGACTTGTTGATTTTAGAGTTGCGTGTTAGGCAGCAGAGTGTGCTTCCTGGTACTTTGGCAAACATTTGACATGAATCTCTGTTACTCTTCCCTTAACTCCTCCAAAAGCCGTTCCAAAGAGAGCCTTCTCAGTCTCACTCCAGCAAAAGTCCTGCTACAGGGAAAGGACAGCTTCACAGTCTAAGTCAATAAGATCAAAATGAGAGCTGATTTGCCATGATATTTAGCTAAGAAGTTACCTAACAAAAAATGGGTTTAGCAGCCATAGGCCTAGACTTGCAAGATTTAGCCAAGTAAACCATGCTTTAAATCAACAATGAATGACAGGTTTTCGAATCTGAAGTTG